GTGCGCGTGTCTCTGTGTGTGCGTGTCTGTGTGTGGGTGTGTGCGTGTGTGCGTGTCTGTGTGTGTGACTGTCTGTGTGTGCGTGTCTGTATGCGTGTCTGTGTGTGTGCGTGTCTGTGTGTGTGCGTGTCTGTGTATGCGTGACTGCGTGTCTGTGTATGCGTGACTGTGTGTGTGCGTGTGTGTCTGTGTGTGCGTGTCTCTGTGTGTGTGCGTGTCTGTGTGTGCGTGTGTCTGTGTGTACGCGTGTCTGTGTGTGTGTGCGTCTGTGTGTGTGTGTGTGCGTGTCTGTGTGTGTGCGTGTCTCTGTGTATGCGTGTCTCTGTGTGTGCGTGTCTGTGTGTGTCTGTGTGTGCGTGTCTCTGTGTGTGCGTGTCTGTGTGTGTGTGCGTTGTCTGTTTGTGTGCGTGTCTGTGTGTGCGTGTCTGTGTGTGTGCGTGTCTGTGTGTGTGCGTGTGTCTGTGTGTACGCGTGTCTGTGTGTGTGCGTCTGTGTGTGTGCGTGTCTGTGTGTGCGTGTCTCTGTGTGTGTGCGTGTCTGTGTTTGTGCGTGTCTATGTGTGTGCATGTCTGTGTGTGCGTATCTCTGTGTGTGTGCGTGCCTGTGTGTGTGCGTGCGTGTGTGTGTGCGTGCGTGTCTGTGTGTGTGCCTGTCTGTGTGTGCGTGTCTGTATGCGTGTCTGTGTGTGTGCGTGTCTGTGTGTGTGCGTGTTTGTGTGTGTGTGTGCGCATCTGTGTGCGCGTGTCTGTGTGTGCGTGTGTCTGTGTGTACGCGTGTCTGTGTGTGTGCGTGTCTGTGTGTGCGTGTCTCTGTGTGTGCGCGTTTCTGTGTGTGTGCGTGTCTCTGTGTGTGTGCGTGCCTGTGTGTGTGCGTGCCTGTGTGTGTGCGTGCGTGTCTGTGTGTGTGCGTGTCAGTGTGTGCGCGTGTCTGTGTGCATGTCTCTGTGTGTGTGCGTGTCTGTGTGTGTGCGTGTCTGTGTGTGCGTGCGTGTCTGTGTGTGCGTGTCTGTGTGTGTGCGTGTCTGTGTGTGTGCGTGTCTGTGTGTGTGCGTGTCTGTGTGTGTGCGTGTCTGTGTGTGTGTGCGTGTCTGTGTGTGTGTGCGTGTTTGTGTGTGTGTGCGTGTGTGTGTGTCTGTGTGTGTACGTGTGAGTGTCTGTGTGTGTGCGCGTGTGTGTGTGTCTGTGTGTGTGTCTGTGTGTGTCTGTGTGTGCGCGTGTCTGCGTGTGTAGGAGCGGTAGCGCTACGCTGCGCTACGAACCCGGAGACCCGAGTTCAATTCCTAATGCCGGCCAACACCAGTGGCGACTATCTGAACCGGTCGTAGTCCTCACCTAGGTCGACTCAGCATTAAATGAGTACCTGGTGCTGTGTGTAGTAAACATCGTGTTCGCCAGCTGAAAGGTCCCCAAACTGAGCTGCGTGGGGATATGTCTCAGAGGCTCAACGAGGCCGTCGCAAACAACGAGAGCTCGGCTCGTCGTGACCATCGCCGTCGCGTGGAAATGTATCACGGCCAAACACAGCAACGCACAGAGACTCATGCGAAATCTAAACCCACGACCTCCTGTACACCGGGCGAGGGAGTTAACATCTCCTAGCCACCGTGGTGATGATGAGAGAGAGAGACGCATACTCCAAATATACAGCAGCAGGCATTGTCAATGTTGGGATCAAACCCGCGACCTCCTGTACACCAGGCGAGGTAGTTAACATCTCCAAGCCACTGTGATGATGATGAAAGAGAGAAACGCAGACTCAAAATATACAGCAGGCATCGTCGGGGTTGGGATCGAACCCACAACCTCCTGTATACCAGGCGAGGTAGTTAACATCTCCAAGCCACTGTGATGATGATGAAAGAGAGAAACGCAGACTCAAAATATACAGCAGGCATCGTCGGGGTTGGGATCGAACCCACAACCTCCTGTATACCAGGCGAGGTAGTTAACATCTCCAAGCCACTGTGATGATGATGAAAGAGAGAAACGCAGACTCAAAATATACAGCAGGCATCGTCGGGGTTGGGATCGAACCCACAACCTCCTGTATACCAGGCGAGGTAGTTAACATCTCCAAGCCACTGTGATGATGATGAAAGAGAGAAACGCAGACTCAAAATATACAGCACGCATCGTCGGGGTTGGGATCGAACCCACAACCTCCTGTACACCAGGCGAGGTAGTTAACATCTCCAAGCCACTGTGATGATGATGAAAGAGAGAAACGCAGACTCAAAATATACAGCAGGCATCGTCGGGGTTGGGATCGAACCCACAACCTCCTGTATACCAGGCGAGGTAGTTAACATCTCCAAGCCACTGTGATGATGATGAAAGAGAGAAACGCAGACTCAAAATATACAGCAGGCATCGTCGGGGTTGGGATCGAACCCACAACCTCCTGTATACCAGGCGAGGTAGTTAACATCTCCAAGCCACTGTGATGATGATGAAAGAGAGAAACGCAGACTCAAAATATACAGCACGCATCGTCGGGGTTGGGATCGAACCCACAACCTCCTGTACACCAGGCGAGGTAGTTAACATCTCCAAGCCACTGTGATGATGATGAAAGAGAGAAACGCAGACTCAAAATATACAGCAGGCATCGTCGGGGTTGGGATCGAACCCACAACCTCCTGTATACCAGGCGAGGTAATTGACATCTCCAAGCCACTGTGATGATGATGAAAGAGAGAAACGCAGACTCAAAATATACAGCAGGCATCGTCGGGGTTGGGATCGAACCCACAACCTCCTGTACACCGGGCGAGGTAATTGACATCTCCTAGCCACCGTGGCAGGTCGTTGGGGCCTGAAACCACCCGCCCGGCCGCCTTTGTCTCCCCAGTGCCAACGCCGGTTCCAGCTGGTGCCAGGGGTCAAACCAGGCCCCCTCTGGTGGAGTGAGATGATAGACTCACACAGAGACCCGTAGACTCACACAGAAACCCATAGACTCACACAGAGACCCATAGACTCACACAGAGACCCACAGACTCACACAGAGAGCCATAGACTCACACAGAGACCCATAGACTCACACAGAGACTCACAGACTCACACAGACACATAGACTCACAAAGAGACCCCCAGACTCACACAGAGACC